AAAAATGAAGAAATATTTTGTAAATTTGTATCAAAGGTTTAAACTCCATTAAGGGCATGCGAAGTCGGCAGCATTTCAAATGCGATAATGCTCAAGAAAGAGAACCGAAAAAATGAAGCCCTTTTTGTTGAGGAGACCTTAGTTTTCTAATTAAAGTGCATGAGGAAGAGATTAGGGGGCAGAAGACGATGGCTGATTTTAGTGGTACTGCAACAGGAACCAACCGTCGTTTTATAATGAGATCGACCCACGAATCTATTCATCATGCAAGTCCATACAAGAGGTAAATCTCCACAACGATTTTCTGTAAGGAGATTCATCGAAACCCGCTTTTACTTCGTACATTCAAAAGTAGTATCTGGTTGGTAGCTCTTAGGTTATGAAAAGCATAAAGGAAGAAGTGGCCATTTGCTATTTGTATGCTAACCATACCATGCGACTCAAGGTTTGAAAGTACACCAACTGCGCCTGATCGGCCTGCAGACACGCCGAGACCCATCGGATCCTCTGGAGTCGCTTTTGGATTGCAATAGTCCGGCGGTAAGGCGCAACCAATGGCACAGAGACAAGGTAGGGCATAGGAGAATAGCTCCGGATCATAGGGCTGTTGGGCGAGATTGTCGAAGATAAGGCTGAAAAGTTGAGCCGTGATGCCTCGCTCTTCCTCAGTAGCAACTGCCACACTACCCCCTCCACTCGCAGCGACGACCACCGCACATCCGCTCGCTGTACCACCACTTCCTCCCTCGTTGCTGTCTCCAGCATCACCGATGTTTCCACCACTACCAGTCGCGGCATCCGTAGAAACTCCGACGGAAGTGACGTCGCCTGTCCAGCCCTCAGTACTGTAATAGCGGCCACAACGCTGATAGAACTCGGAAAGCACATGTAGCGCGACGATAGACTGTATTTATAAAATAGAATTTACCTATAAGTATGCCTTGCCTGCTTATCGTTTTAAGTTTCAAAATCTCGCTTATGTAGAACATACTCACTGCGAATAAGATGAGTAAAGTCCAGAAGAACAAATTTTTACAAAAGGTAGTTTAAAGAACATAAGCTAAATAGGTGCTTCCAAGCTTAAACAAAGTTATAAGAAAGCTAATGAATTTTGGGAGATAAATCTGAAAGCTAAGCACATTAAAAGGTGTCATAAAGGGTAGATCTGATAAATTAGGGCGAAAAAGCTAAAATTACGTGTAGGAGTGGAAATATATACTGCAAATAGATTGAATAAAGAAACAGGTTGACAAAATAATAATTATAGCTCGGATATTGGATGAGAAAAAGCAATCCTTTAATTGTTGTGATCTAAGTACTAAAGTATCAGTTACATATTCATCCCTCTCAAA